CTGTGTCGGCAGACCATCCTCAGTTGGGGTTTCCCGTGTCAGACTTGGGGTGTGGGCTGGGGGGGGGAGTGCCACAGAGGTAACGCGCCTTCTCGTCACCTGAAATCCGGCCCTGCTGTCCCCTGACCTGGTCACCTGCCGGCCAGGAGTCTGCGCTGTGCGGTTCCACCCCCCCTCCCCCCCCCCCGTCCCCGAGGGATGCTGGGAGGGGCGGCCACGCAGCTCGCGTGGGGGAGGGGCGTCGGGCCTCACCTCGGGGGGCATTTATATAGATTTTGTCCACGCAGACAGTCTGGGGCCACTTCTCTCCCTTCCCCACGTATTTACCGATTCATTTCTGTAGCTACGCCACGTGACTGGGATGGATTTTATACATTGGGTTATATAATTCAAGACAATGTCGTTTACTCTCTTCCTCTGGCCACGGGGGCCTGTCCCCCCTGCCCCCCATCATCTGTGGGTTTGGAGCAGTTTCGTGCTGTCTGGCCCAGGGGCACCAGGGCCGTCCTGCGAGGTTCCTGCCCCAGGCCTGGCACCGGCCGCGCCTCCGGGGGGCCTGGCCCTGCTCGGAGCCTGCTGTGAGCACCGCTCTGGGCTCTGCCTGGGCCTTGTGGGTTCTCCTGCCACGTGTGCCCAGCGTCTTTTTTTTTTTTTTTTTAAAACAGAACATGATGATATCTAATACACAAGTTTGATACAACCTAACGGTAAAACACCAGAGGAAAATGGTAACAAAAAACATGGTATTTCATTTGCAGTGCGTGAGAAATGGTTAACATCTCCAGTCGTAAACAAGCTCTTAAAAACCGGTAACAGAGACACTGTCATAATGCAAGGAAACTGGAGAAAATGAAATGAAAAAATGCGGGTGATGATTAAGCGCGGAGCACGCACGGCGACGCGGCCGAGCAGCGGCGAGGAGGAATTTCTCTGCGTGTCGGCGAGCAGAGTGCAGACACCGACACCCAGTGCCGCTCAGCGTGGGGCAGCGCCTGCAGCTCGGACGCTCAGAAACCCCCGGAGGCCGGTTCCCGAGACGCAGAGCCTCCGTAGAGGTTAAGCTGGACCTGAGTTCCTCCTGACGTCCTCGCTCCGTGACCACACAGACCAAAGTTCCCTTCCAGGCCCTGGCCGGGGGCTCGTGGCTGGAGCGACGGCCCGCAGACCCGAGGGTCCGGGTTTGATTCCCGGTCAAGGGCATGTGCCTGGGATGCAGGCCTGATCCCGGCCCTGGTTGGGGCGTGTGCGGGAGGCCACTGATGGATGTGTCTCTGTCACATCGATGTTCCTCTCTCTCTCTCTCTCTCTCTCCTCTAAGAATCAATGGGAAAAATATCCCATGAGGATTAACAAAAAATATTCTTTTTGTTCACTTTCAGTGAGTGAAACAGCCGCGGGGTGCTTAGGTTTAACCCAAATCACGGAACATAAAACCCAGAGTCATTCAGAGGCAGGGCCTCCCGAAGCGCGTTAGCACCTTTGATGAGACGGAGGAGTGTTTTTTTGAAAACAGAAATTACGCGCCTGATGAGAGCCATCTTGCCGGTTGGAATTAGGGAAATTAGGGGAGATCTGCATACGCTGCGCGTGCCCGGGAAGCCGCCTGCCGGTGGGAGGGTGCCCCGACTCTTCGCCCCGACCGGCCTGGGGGCCTGGAGGCGGCGGCGGGGGTGCTGGGGCCCAGTTAGCGAGTGGCCCTGGTTGCGGGCACCCCCAGGGCCCTGGTGGGGGCACTGAGCCTCTGCTCTGAGACCGCCAGGTGACCTCCTGGCCAGAACCGGGCCGCGGGCACACCTGACTTTGGACTAGGTCTGGGCCCGGTTCTGGTGTCTGTAAAACAGGACACATCTCACTACCAATGAGAACAGGGGGGCAGCTCCCCGAAATGTGCCCTAGGGACTGAGTGGGCGTCAGGCATTTCCTCGCCCCCCCGGGACGGATGCCCCAGGCAGGGCCCTCCCCGCAGCCCCTCTCCCCTGCCACCCCCCCGCCCCCCCAGAAGAGCCACGTTTCGGGGTCCAGAGCAGAGGAGCCGCGGCTGTAATTAACGGATGGCGCCCCGAGGACAGGCGCCTGCCTCCCGGCAGAGAGCAGGAAGTGAGAAAAACGCCCGCTCCCCACTTTTGTCATAAACAACGGACGCCCTGCTCTCTCCGCACTCGCTTGACCCTCCGCTCCGTATACATATTTATATATTATTCATAGTGGATTAAAAATGGATGCGCTCCTTACCGCGGCGGGACGCGCAGTGACAATACAAATTAACGTATGATGTACTTACTCTCCGCGCCCCGTGACGGGGAGCGCTGATGGCCCGGGAGTGAGAGGTGAGGGCGGGAGGGGGTGGGCCTGGGCGGCGCTGTCGGGCTCTGGCCCTGGACGCACATGGGACCAGGCTGTGGGCTGTCCCCCCTCCCTCCTCCCACGGGGGGTCCCAGCTTCCCAGGGTCCCGAGGGCCTGCCCCCGGCCCCCGGAGCCTCCCTCTGCCTGTGACCTGCTCCACACTCACCTTCACGGGGGGGGACCCACCCCTCCATTCCTCCAAGAACTTTCGCCTACCTCAGTGTGGCCAGACCTTCAAAAGCTCACAGAGGGTGTGTGTGTGTATGTCTGTGTGTATACATGTGTGTGCATGCATGTCTGAGTGTGTATGTGTCTCTGTGTTTATGTGTGTTCATATTTTGTGTTGTGTGCAGTGTTTGTGTGCACGTGTGTTTTATGTACGTGTGTATCTCATAAAACACATTGTGATCATGCTTCTAGGAAGTGCTTGGGAGAGTTCGGGACCTGGGTGTAGCCCCTGGACGTTTGTTGTCAGGTCCAACTGCGGGTTCACTGAGCCTCAGCTTCCTCGTCTGTGCAGTGGGCTGGAAGCTCTCCTTGGCAGAATGGCCCAGAGCTCGAATGTGCTGCTGCGACGGACGTGGGAGGCTGTGACCGTGGGCCTGGCTTCCCCCGGCAGGTGGGGGCCGGGTCGGGGTTCGTCATGACCCCGTGTTGTGGAGGCTCCTCCTCCAAACGCACACGCACATACGCCCACACCCAGTTCCCGTCTCACCGAGCGAACGGGGACCAGCGGGCGCGCCGGGGCCTGGACGGTGGTCAGGGCTGCGCCGGGAGGTCCGGTGGCTCCTCAGAAGGCAGGTGGCACCGCAGGTTCCGGGCATGGAAGTCCCAGGGGGAGCGGAGGGGCACCTGGCGTGTCCGGGGCGGCCAGGCCCAGCCCGGCCGGGTCTGAGGGGCCCTGGGAGCGGAGAGTCCAGCAGGTCGAATGCCTTGACCTGGGACCCTCTGTCTGGGAGGACGAGGGACCGAGCCCTCCTGACGCCCACGGACAGGGAGGCAGCTTCGGGCTCCGCAGGCTCTGGTGGGAGTGAGTTTCCGCTGCAAACGTCGTCCGGGCCCCCGGTTTCTGGGGGACAAGACTGTTGGCGGGTACAGGGGCGTCGGGGAGCGGCTCTCGGGAAAGGGCTGCGCGTGCAGTGAGCACGTTCCCGGGAATTGGGCCCGTCTGTCCTTGTTCGCTTTGTGGGCAGATGGAAGCAGCCGTGGCCGGACGCTCCGGGTGGGACAGCACGTCCACGGCTCCCCAGCCTCGGGGGCCCGGTTGTTCCTTCGCGACTTCCCCAACCAGATGCCACGCGGCTCCCCGAGGGTGGGCTGCGGCGTCTGCTGCGCTCCAGTGCCCAGACATCGAGCGCGAGGGTGAGACCCGGGGACCCGTCTTTGCTCGACTCCGAGCCTTTCCAGAAAAGTGTGGTTTCCAGAGCTGCTCTCCCAGCTCCACCTTCGTTGATGCTGGCCGGTGTTGCCAAATGGTTAGAGCATCAGCCCATAGGACTGGGGGTGGCGGGTTTGATTCCCAGTCAAGGGCACATATCTCGGTCGCAGGCTCAATTTCCGGCCCCAGTCAGGGCAACCGATGGATGTGTCTCTCTTACATCGATGTTTCTCGCTCTGTCTTTCCCTCTCCCTTCCACTCTCTCTAAAAATCAGCGGGAAAATATCCTCAGGTGAGGATCAACCAGAAAGAAAAGAAAAGAAAGAAAAGAATGTCCCCCCACAGACTGAGAGCTAAGAGTGGTTCTTCCATTTCTCAGCGGCTGGAGAAATAACTCAGCAGGAATAACATTTCATTCCACGTGGAGTCATCTGAAACGCAGATTTCCGCACCCACAGTAAATTCTTGAATTTCAGCAACGAGCAGGTGGAAGCCTGGCTCCTCTGTTGTTCTTTCGGTGCAAGCATCGTATCCGTCCAAATATTCACCCTCTAACTTTCTATGAAAAGGGAGTTCCAGGTGTGGGGAGCTTTCTCTCCTGTCACCTGGACAGTCGGCCTTAAACTCTCAGGCGGAGCAGCCCGGCCAGCCTGGCTCAGGGGCTGAGCGTCGACCTAGGAGCCAGGAGGTCACGGTTTGATTCCCGGTCAGGGCACATGCCCGGGTTGCGGGCTCGATCTCCCGTGTGGGGCATGTAGGAGGCAGCCGGTCCATGATTCTCTCTCATCATGGATGTTTCTCTCTCTCTTCCTCTCCCTTCCTCTCTCTGAGATCAATAAAAACGTATCAAAAACAGACAAAACCTCTGGCTGGATAAACAGATCTGTCACACCCCTGCCCATGTTACTCTGATTTGGTGACTTAGTAACTTCTTATTTGTCCAAATAGATGGATTGGTTGCCTTTCTCTCCTTTGCTGTGTGACTTTGGCAAAGTCCTAAGACACACGGTATTGATGACATGGGTGACGGGGCCGTGGGTGACGGGCCGTGGGTGACGGGGCCGTGGGTGACGGGGGCCGTGGGTGACGGGGGCCGTGGGTGACGGGGCCGTGGGTGACAGGGCCGTGGGTGACGGGGACCGTGGGTGACGGGGGCCGTGGGTGACGGGGCCGTGGGTGACGGGGCCGTGGGTGACGGGGACCGTGGGTGACGGGGACCCTAGCCCCGCCGTGGGGCGCGGGGCCTGAGCTGCTGGCTGACTGCCTCTCTCTCCGCAGGTCACCGGCCCTTCCAGTGCCGCTACTGCCCCTACAGTGCCTCTCAGAAGGGGAACCTGAAGACCCACGTGCTCTGCGTGCACCGCATGCCCTTCGACAACAGCCAGTACCCCGACCGCAGGTTCAAGCGCTCCAGGGTTGACTCGGAGGCGGCGGGCATGGACGAGGCGGCGGCGGGGGGCGCGGAGCTGGCGGAGGAGGGTGGCCAGGCCCCCGAGGAGCCAGCCCTGGGCGGCCACCTGGCCCAGGCCTAGGGCTGGCGCCCGGAGGAGAGCGAGCTCGCTGCATCGGGGGGATCACGGCCCCCCCCCCCCAGCCCCCACTAGTGTCTAGGACGTTGGAGAGATTAGAGAGAGATCTATATCTATATTCAAACAGACCGGCCCTCGACCATGGCTGCTAAGCTGTTACCGGCCACAGGGACTTCCCGGCCGCGTCCCTGGGGGAAGGCGGCCTCCCGGGGCCGGGCCCACGCCAGCCCCATCGTCTTTGTCCCCAAACCACGCTCTGCTGGCGGCTGCAAGGCGACGCCATCCCCATGCCCTAGTGTGGCCTGGAAGGCGGGGTCCTTGCTCCTGTCAGAAACGCCCCCAGAACCTGACACCCGCTGTGTCCCTGACCTGGCCCCCCCAGGCGCGCAGGGGGTGCAGGGGTACAGGGGGGCACAGGCGGCATTGGTGCCAGCCGGGCTGGAGTGCGCGGCCCAGAAAATCAATAGGCGGCGAGGCGGCGGTGCAGGAAACCCGAGCCGCCCCCCCCCCCCACCATGGGCCTCACTCAGCGCGTCCAGGTCAAGAAGTGTCTGCGGGCGCCCCCCTCGCCGGTGGGATGAGCAGTTACCCCCCCCCCCTTAAATATATTTTTAGCTCAAACTGCAGGATCAAGGAAAGTGCTTTTTTTTTCTGGTTTGTCTTAATTTTTAATGTTTGGATTCATAAAACAAGGTGGCTAATGAAAGCGGTTTAGGGGAACACTCCGAACATGGCTCAGAAGCAGCAGCCCACCCCGTCCCCTCAGGCGCTGGCAAGTCAGGGCGAGGGTGTCCTCCTGGGAAGACAGGCTTTGATTGTGATTCTAAGGATCGGGCGCGGGGGAACCCCTTCCGCAGGAGCTCGGGTTCAAGCGCGAGTCCAGACGCCCCGCTCCCGGCCGCCGAGGGAGAAAACGGTTTGAGTTAAAATGTCTGTTTTTGTAAAACAAACGTGTTCTCTATTTTTGTAGATTTTAGATTTTTCTACTGATTGGGTACTCCAAATTTATCAAGTTCTTCGCCACTTCGCCGCCCCGAGGGAGACTTTGAGGGCCAATAATAAAACACTTAACTCCTTTAAAACAAACAAAAAAAAAAGGTTTAAGAAAGACTAGTTGAGGGTGATTCTTGAATCTGCTGGGATGGAGAGACGGTTCGGCCTCTCCCGCCCGTCCTGTGAGGGACCCAGAACCGGTGCTGCTGCTTGTGGGGTAGAGAAGCGACGAAGTCACAGCTTCTAAAACAGAATCCTTCGGACTTAAAAAAAGAAATAAATAAAAAAGCCCCTCTTTCCCCGCAGGCTGGGAGCACAGGACAAAACCCAGGGCCTTAAGCACTTCAGCTCTGCCTCCAGCAGTTTACCGGGCACTAAACTGCAATGATGTACATACAGCGCTCGCCCTCCCGAGGCAGGAAGTCGGGGCGCACGCGCCTGGGGGTGTCGCCCCCCGGACGGGCTGCCAGACCGCGAGGCCGCTGCGCACCGGGACCGTCGGGCGCACGGCCAGCTGCTCTCTCGTGTTTTCTAGACTAGTTCTCACTGCCTTACTTAACTCGAGTGGATACATTAATGCAACGGTTTCCATGACCCTAGAGGAAGGACCGCGCTGGTGCCGAGACGTCCGCCCGTAGTGAGCTGTAGGGTTTTAACTGCGCTGCTGTGTTTGGTGACTGTGCCGGTCGCTTGCTTTCTGTGTGTTTGCCCCGCCTTTGGTATCTTAGCAAAGAAAAAAAAAATATCTATATATTAAAAAAAAAAAAAAAGATTAAAAAAAAGTAAAAAGAAAAAAAAAACACAGGAAAAAAATGAGAGCCACATTCCATTTCTAGCACTTTGGGAACTCCGTATCTCGCGTGTCTTCTGAGCATCGTCCGATGCGCCAGGCAATAATAATTCTGTGTGTGACACTGGGAACAGCCCCCGTCGTGGCGTGTGTGTCCATCCCACTTGGTCCCGTGCTGCCACCCCGTCCCCCCGACGCACCAGCGACAGCGCCGGGCTCGCGTGTCACCAGGTCCCGCCGCCCGCGCGTCCGGCTCCCTCCCCGTGACCCCCGTGGTCTGTGATGCTGGTCCTCTCCCGCCCGCACCCGGCGAGGCGCGCTCTCCGGGGAAGTCCGAGATCAGTAGAGTAGAGGGTTTTGTTGCTATGCTTGTAACAAGTAGACACCTTTGTATTTAAAGTCTATTCTTGGTCATTATTTATTATGATAATACATCGGTTGACAGAACTTTATTCTGGTATAGAAAGTATTAAAAGTTGTTTTTTCAGCAATGACTGTTTCCTTTCTGCTGTTAGAATAAACTGTCTTTGAAGTAGTCACGTTCTATCCAGTGTTTTATGCAATAAAACCTCTACCTCTGAAAAAACAACCTCTCTTCCTCGTCCCGTCTGTCTTCCGGGAAGGGGAGGCCTGACGCACAGCTGGGTCGGACGGTGAGACGGGGTCCCATCCCACTGGAAAAGGGAAAAGGGCCCGGCCGTATCCTGGGCACCCGTCCCTGCGCATGGGGGCTTGAGCTGAATGACTCTCTGCAGTATAAGGAGTGTGTGTGAGTACGTGTGCATGTGTTTGCATATATACACATGCATGCATGTGTGTGGGCACGTGTCCATGTGTAGCTGTGTGTACGTGTGCATGCATGCACACCCACGTGCATGCGTGAACTCTGTCTGCGGAAAGGCTGGCAGACACCAGTTTCAATAAGGTAAAACCTTCGGAAAGAAAAGGCTTTTCATGTCACGGAGATTAGATAGGACATGGGAAGCACGGGGATCTGTTTTCCCTCTGACTGGTAAAAGGCGGTGTTTTTAAATGAGTCAGTGAAGGAGGTCTTTTCCCTCCGCATCACCGAGGAGCCTGGCTTCTCCCTCTCCCAGGGCAGAGGCGAGGACGCGCCCGAGGTGCCGCTGGAGCGGAGCCCAGGGCGAGGCTGGCGGAGGGGCTGGCGCGGGCCCCAGGGGCCGGGCGGGGCTGGGCTGGGCGTGTTGTCCTGGGGTTGGTCCTGGGTCCCAGGTGGGTCGGCGTGGCTGCAGCCTTGGGATCTGAGGGCCTGAGACCTGTAGTCGCAGAGGCGCCCCCCTTCACAGGAGCCTGCGAGTCACCCCGCTTCTTTTAAACGTGGGGCCGCTGGACGGGAGCAGGGAATGAACGGAACCTCGCAGTCCTGCTGCCACCAACAGCCCAGGTGAGTCACGGTTCACGGTGAGAGGCGGGGAGCGGCCCCCTCAGGGGAAGAGGCGGACGGAGGGGTCACAACGCCACCGACACGATGGCCCAGGCCCAGAGGCGGCCAAGGGACTCAGAGCATGGGGTGTGGCCGTGAGGGACGGGGGTTCGAATCCTCTCACCACGACCCATCCGAGGTCCGGCTGACGGGTACCATGGCACACGCAGTCACACGCAGTCACCTGCCCGTCCTCGCTGCAGCCCTGGGGACCTGCTGCTCCGTCCCCCGAGGCGGGGGCTGCTCGGACGGGCTTTCTCCTCCTGCCCCCGGAGCTGCCGGGCTGCTGGCACCCAGGGCCGAGGCGGTGCTTGTGCCGAAACGCTCACAGACGTGGCCGCCTGCCGGCTCCTGTGTTTGGGGTGCGCTCTCCTCCCCGCCCCCCACTCCCCCGCCAGCCTGACATCTGCATGAGGCGGTGTATCATGCAGCCCTCCCCTGGCCGACGGCACGCACCATCCCCAGGAAATCAGCCTTAAATACTGTGGTCACTTCTCCAGGCAGAAGGGCCGGCACGTTCCGGGACCCCGAGTGTGTTTCCACGGGGACGGAAGAAAAGGCGCAGCCTCATGCAGGATTAAAGATGTCGCCCGGCCGGGCCTGCTGTCCGTGTAGGGCTGGTGTCGTCCTCCTCTCTTCACCTGTTGAGAGAAAGGGGAGAGACAGAGCGCGGGCTGGAGGGAGTGGGGCGGGGAGGGGGAGGGAGGGGAAGGGCTTATGCGACCAGGGAAATCACAGGCGATGGAAGAGGAGGGGGAAAATTTAAATGATCCCCGACCGAACTGTTTCGCTGTTAATACAGAAATACAGTGTGAGACACATTTAATGGGCTCTATTTTTTATTATACTATGCTGAATAATTAAGTTTGAAGCTAAGTGTCACATGGATTTATCTTTTAATTAAAAAAGCATGGTTCACGCATATTTGAGTGGTAGTCCAAATAAATGCAATATAGGAATTTATGCTTGTTTATCTAGGTGTTAATTACCTGAGATTGTTCCGGATTACTTCTTCTTATAACGGGGCATGGGCTCGTGTCAGAACGAATAAAGCTTGCCCGCGGAGCCTTATCAATTTGCTAAGTCGAGTGCTGGGGTCTGACCTGCGGCGGGGGGTGGGGGGGGCAGGGAAAAACCTGGGGGGCGGTTATGTACACACACAGCCCCCCTTCAACCCACACCAAATAAAACCGTCGTTTTTAGGAAATATTTCTCGGACATAAAGGCATAAATATATCTTTGCTGCTTTACGGCCTCTTGTCCGCGGCTGTTCCTAAGCCGCGTGATTATTTACGCTTCGGGTGATGAGGAGTTGGGCGGGGAGCGGCCGGAAGAGGCTCCAGCCATCCCCCCACCTGAGCCGGCAGCGCCCTGGGCCTGGGAGGGGGGCAGGGGGCCAGGCAGGAAGCCGGGGGTGTGTCTGAAGGGTGTCCGTCTCCCTGCGGCTCCCAGGAAAGGCGGCCAGTGGGAGGGAGAGGGGTCTCCAGGTGGAGGGTGACAGGTCGCGTTTGTAGGTCAAGGACACACAGGGACAGTAGGCCCAGAGCCCCAACGGTTCCCCAACACCTCGGATCGGACCTGGCTTTTTTTTGCTTTTTTTTAGTATAATTTTTATTGACTTCAGAGAGGAAGGGAGAGAGAGAGAGAGAGAGAAACATCCATGATGAGAGAATCACTGATTGGCTGCCTCCTGCACCCCCCCGACTGGGGATCGAGCCCACAACCTGGGCCTGTGCCCTGACCGGGAGTCGAACCCTGGCTCACAGGCTGATGTCAATCATGCAGCCACCGCAGCCGAGAGCCTGGCTGCTTCTTTGTTTAAAAAGTGATCTGTGCGGCTCCAGCCAGGGCCTTGGGAGAAGCGGGAGGTGTGGGTGCCGAGCTGTGGGCTGCGGGCAGGTCTGCATGGTGCACCTTTGCTGGGGGTGGGGGGCGCGTTGCCTGTTCTGCTTCCGCTGGCCTTTCCCACGGGTCCAGGCCCCTGTGCGGCCGTCAGTCACCAGGGAATCCATGAGAAGAGCTGCAGGCCAATGGGTTCACTAGGATCCACGGCCTTTTCTCAGGGCACAGGGGGCGCTGCAGGGGAGCAGGGGCCTCGCTCAGCGGCGCTTCCGTCCAGCTGACCTGGGGGCCGGGGAGCCCCGACAGCAGACCTGCCCCACCTGGGGCTCTGGGCCTGGGAGGCTGCTGTTCCCAGTGTTTCCCCTCCCCGGGTGGGGCCTGGCTGGACGGGACTGGTCACTGACCGTGCACCAGGGGCCCCCGGGGAGCAGGGCTGGCTCCGGGCGGGGGTGGGGCTCCTGTGGCCGTGGGGGCTCCTGTCTTCTGACTCATTTCATTTCGCACCACGTGTCTGGCCTGCGTGTGGCGAGTGCAGGGGGTTGGAGCCCGTGGCCGGGTCAGCGCCTGCCCTCCCCGCCCCCCTGAGCTGGCCACTCTGACGCCTGTGACCCTGGGGTCATCGCCTTGTCCGACTGCCTTTCATGTCTCAGTTTGCTGACGGGTGGTTTGGGGGAGTCCACACAAATCCTTCAGACGTAATTCACGGCGAAGAGGCGCTCCTGGGGGGGTGATGGCGGGAATTAGGCGCTGAGGGTCGGCTGTGCCGGGCCCAGGGTGTGGGAGCCAGGGAGGGATCACCTACCTCCCTGCCACAGGCCCAGGCCCCAGCCCTGAAGTCCTCCTGCCTCAGGGCTGGATGGTAGGGTCCCTGCCTGCCTGAGGGGGGGGGGGGGGGAGCGAGGGCATTTGTTAGCAGTGAGCAGCCTGACTCCCCCACCCCCAACCCCACCCCCGCTGCCCTCCGCTCCTCCTCGCTCCTCTTGGGTGTAGCGGACGCTGCTACAGGGCACCAGGAATCCTCTACAATAAAAGGCTAATATGCAAATCAGCCGAACAGCAGAATGACTGGTCGCTATGACTCACACTGACCACCAGGGGGGCAGACACTCAATGCAGGAGCTGCCCCCTGGTGGTCAGTGCGCTCCCACAGAGGGAGCACCGCTCAGCCAGAAGCCGGGCTCATGGCTGGCAAGCGCAGTGGCAGTGGCAGAAGCCTCTCCCGCCTCCGCAGCAGCACTAAGGATGTCCGACTATCGGCTTAGGGGTGTCCATGGGGAGCAGGCCTAAGCCATCAGTCGGACATCCCCCAAGGGGTCCCGGACTGCGAGAGGGCGCAGGCCAGGCTGAGGGACCTCCCCCTCCCCCCCCACCAGATGCACAAATTTTGTGCACCAGGCCCCTAGTTTAAAATATTGTGTTTGCCTTGAAAATGGGCCCATGTTCCCTTCAGGCCATCAACGTTTCGTCGCATTGCATGTTCACGTGGGAAGAAACCTCACAGGGCGTCGTGCCTGACATACCCATCCAGGAGGAGAGGAAGCTGCCCGGCCAGTGTGGCTCAGTGATTGAGCAGCGACCTAGCAGTCAGGAGGTCAGTGTTTGATTCCCCGTCAGGGCACATGTCTCGGTTGCCGGCTCCATCCCCGATAAAGGGCGTGCAGGAGGCAGCTGATCCATGATGCTCTCTCATCATTGTTTCGATCGCTCTCTCCCTCTCCCTTCCTCTCTCTGAAATCAGTTTTAAAAAAGAGAGAGAAGAGGAAGCTGAGGGCACAGGGAGCTCCGACGTGGGCCCCGCATAGCCTCTCGCACCGAAGCGGCCTCTGGTGTCACTCACAGAGTGTCGTCAGGGCAGCTGCCGTGGCTCTGTGATTCCGGAAGCAGGCAGTGACCTCAGAGTAAGGGACGCATTGACCCCTGGCCCAGTAGGTGCTGCTATGACCCCTGACGGCCCTGGTCGACCAGTTGTCTCCTCCCTCACTCAGCCGTCAGCTATTGTGCTCTGCCTTGGGGGGTGTGCTGGGCATGGGCTGGGCATGAGCTGGGCATGGGCTGGGCAGCGGTGGGCTGGGCATGAGCTCAGCCAGGGAGGTCCGGGAAGTCCCTGATGACCTAGGAAGGACCCAGGAAGCCACACGCCACCAAGCTTGGGGGCGCGTCTCCTTCCACGGCGGCTCCTGGATGGCCTTCTGTGTCCCAACTCCCAAGCTCCGTGACTTCCTCGTGCCCGTCAAGGTCAATGTGATTGACCCAAGGGCAGTGGGGACAGGAAAGGAG